CAGTCAATTGGAGATAAAAGCCTCATGGACATTCCTGCATGGGCTAGTTTTGAATGATGATTCTCAGATCTCAGCTTTCTGAGTAGCTAGGCTTGCAGTTGTTAATCACCAGTGCCCTGCTCTTAAGGTATTTTATGATGTTTAAGGCTAATGCTTGCCAGCCACAATTATCCTTCCTGCCCTTCAGAAGAAGCACATCACTCCTTTTAGTTTCTGTAATCAGCACAAAGGACATTTCATAAGAGACCAGTCTTCTTTTGAAGGCTCCACCTTTACCAAAGTAATTTTGTGCTAAATATTTGATTATATGATTTCCTTCTTGGTGTTTTTAGTGGCAATACTAATATTTGATTTGATTCTTCTACCTATTGAAAAGTCATGAGAAAATTATGCATTTCCAAAATGGTCATAGTGATTGCTTTCAACATTAAAGCAAAAGTATGGGTGACGCTCTATACTTCCTTTGGCTTATAAAAGCCTCTTTTTATTTTTTTAAAAAGCAACCATGCCAAGATAAATAATAAAACAAGCATGCCCAAACAAATATGGCTCTGTGTGTGTGTGTGTGTGTGTGTCTGTCTGTCTGTCTGTCGGTCGGTCTGTCAGTCTGTCTGTCTGTCTTTCTGTCTGTGTCAGTCATGGGGCTTGAAGTCTAGGCCTGAGCACTGTCCCTCAGCTTTTCAGATCAAGGCTAGTGCTTTACCACTTGAGCTACAGTTCCATTCTGGTCTTCTGGTGGTTTATTGGAGATAACAGTTTCACAGACTTTCATCCCTGGGCTGGCTTTGAACTGCGATCCTCAGATCTCAGCCTCCTGAGTAGCTAGGATGACAGGCATGAGCCACCAGTGTCCAGCTACAAATATGGCTTTGAACATTCTACTTAGTAAGTGAGATGCCATTAGCATTGCATATTTTAGTACTGTGAAATGACTTGTCTGGTCATGTGTCTTTTATGGTCATTGACTTAATAGAGATTGTGTCTAGGAATCTCATGCAGTTTGAAACTCAATGATTAATGAATAAAGTTATACAAGTAGAGAATGGTTAGAAAAATGATTTTCCTTGCCAGGGACAGGAAGCAGTTATTCAGGTCTCCCCAATTAAGTTTAGGATGGTTCAAACTCAGAAAAGCAGTTTGGTACAAAAGGACATGGCAAGAATGGGTTAGAATTCTAGGTTATAGATATAACTTGGCCTAATTTCTATCTCTTAGTCCTTCAGGTTTCACATCTGAAATCAAATGAATAATGGCCTACGTAGACACCCACAAATAATATTTATGAATGAAACATTAGAAAATGAAAGGTAATGGACATTCTTTTAGAAAATGTAAAAGCTTAATGTGAAGCTAACCTTTGCCTTTATCAAATGTACTGCCAGGGGCAGTCCACGAAAGGTGAACAGGACCTCCTTTAACTTCAGCCTCCAAGCCTGTGATTTTACTGGGACCGAACAAGGGAGTATTGTTACCAGCAGGAGGAGCTCCTGATACAGTGAATGACCCTCCTGAAGTTAGTCTGCTGACATCTTCCAGTTGAGCTTCTGCCAAGTCTTCTTTAACTTCAGGTCTGGGTGGGTTCAGTCCAATTGCACTTATCCAAAAGAGTAATTTTGTAACTTTTCATATTTTCATGTGGATACTTCATCTTCTAGAGGGGTAAGTTAAAACTTAATAGCAGACACAGAAAAGTGACAATTTTTAGTGAAACAACCCTCTTGTTTTAGTATAACTTTGAAATGAATGAGGAGATATTATGCTATGTTAAACCCATCTTTGATCTTTATTAACTGCTTGACTAGAAATTCTTTGAGGACAAAGATCCTTTTGAACTCAGGGTCCCATTCTTACTGGCTAGGCACTGTATCTCTTAAGCTATGCTTCAGAGCTTCTGGGCCTCCTTAAGTTCTTTTCTGGATATGGTATCAAGGTTTCTACCCAGGCAAACCTGGGCCTGCAAGCTTCCTATTGAGGCTCCCACAGATGCCCATCATGCCCTTCGTTTTGTTGTGATGGAGGTCTCAGGAATTTTTGCCCCAGCTTGCCCAGAATTGCAATCCTGCCAATCTCTTCTTCCAGAGTAGCTGGTATGACTAGTGTGAGACATGAGCCTGGTACAAGGATTATGTGTCATTCATCTTTGTAGCAAGCATCTTCTATAGTGCTGGCCTCATACCAGATGCTCAGTCCTAAATTTTTCATTGTAATTGAAATGAACCAGGGTAGATGTTAATAAAACATGTGACAATCTATTTTACACTCAACCCAATAGTATGAATATAACTTTGAAACATAGAAGTTGAATACATAATTATATACTTGACTCTTGCATAGTACATAAAATTTTCAATGTTTGCCACATGAAATGTACAGAAACATGTGACTCATTTCAATTTTAATGCTACTTACCATTTACAACATGGCCATGTATGTACAGAGACTTGTTCTATCCTCTTAATCTATGTCTAGCAGTGTTATTTCTTGCCTGGACAAGAACTTTCAAAAAGTAGATACTATCATTTTTGACAGTATCAGCACCTTTAGGTTCAAATGTAATAGTTATACAGTATATACAAATGGCTACTGTTTCTCTCCTGGAACCGTAATGATATCAGCAGTTTGGGAGATAGCACAGCACATATGTACACTAGAATTAGATTCCTTTCCAACTTTGGCTTAGCCACATGCTAATCTTTTGATATTGAAAACAGTCTAACTGTGATTGTATGTATTCCATTGATATTAGCTGCTATTATTTTATAAATGCAACTTATCAAAAAGAAAATATATCTAGTTGGGGAAATTATAGTTGAAACACTAACACTAAGAATACTGGAGGAAGATTGTATTCAACTCTTCCATGAGAAACATAAAATTTTTCTTGAGGTTGAAAGATAAACATGTTTTATTTTACTTTTTCAGACTCAGTATAATGTTTATAAACATTATAACTTTCAAATGTGTAGTATAAGCTTATATATCTCATGACTTCATCATAGAATCCTTTAGGAGATGTTTTAAGTCCAGTGTAATTTGAAGAGGATGTTAGTTACCTGCACCATTGTCCAAGAGTTCTGATATTACTTGCTGTCCATCTTCCAATTCGATAATGACGATTATATCAATGTTCACTATAAGCATATCCTCTTCCCTGACATATGCATGAACAATTCCTGGGTTTATGTATTGTGCTGTATTTTGACTCCTGTAAGCAGCTGCCATTACTGGAATAATGGAAGGATTTGTTGCTGCAGTGGTCAATGTGACTGATAGAAATTGAGGTTGGGCTTGATTATTTAACAGTCTATAAGTCCAAGTACCTGCCTGGAAAAAACAAAACAAACAAACAAACAAATAAAAACTCCTTCAAAGCCTTCTTAATATTGCTTTTTCCACCCAGTTGGAGTAGCTCACACCTGTAATACTAGCTCCTGAGCACACTGAGATGTGAGCATTGCAGTTTGAAGCCAGCAAGGGCCAGAAAATCTGTAATAAATTTTATTTTCCAATTAAATCAAAAAGAAAGGGAGGATTGATACCATGGATCAAGTAGAACAGTGCCAGTCATCAGCAAAAAGAATCTCAGTGGAGGTGCCTCAGGATAAGCAACAAAACAAACAAACTCTCTCCTTGGGATATAAACTGATTTAAAAATGTAAAGAATTTATGTATATATACATACATACACATGTACATATATATGCATATATGTGTAAGTATACATATACATTTACATATATGTGTTGTATGCATGTAGTTTATATGTATATATATATATGAGTGTGTGTAATTTTGAGGATGGAAATTGTTTTCATCTGTACTAGATAATTGTCTTTTTCCAAACTACACACCCAGCTCTAATAGCGATTTGAAAGCTTATTTTACAAACTAGTAAATAATATGAATGTGAATTATTACATATGCCATTCATTTTTGTGGCAGATAACCTGTTTTAATTTTAATATTGACAATATACAAGACAAAACCATATTTATAAAGTAGTAATTAATAAAAACAAAGTGAAAATGAACAAATAGAATTACCTCTGCAATGCCCAGTATTCGAAGATGGGATGTTTGACTATTTTGCTTATGTTCTTTGAAATCTGAGGTATCATATTCTTTTCCTTTGGGATCTTGGAGAATAATTAGTGGTTTTTGCATTGTCCAGGTAACAACAAACAATGTGTCATTTCCAGTGGTGCTGTCCACAGACACTGTGCCATTGGCCCATGTCTTCCCTATGACATTCAAGGTTTTACTTTCCATCTGTTACATCAGTAAAAGGAAACATGCAAAAACAATTTGTTATTTATTTTGACAATGTGTGGGCTTGAACTGAGGGACACAAACTTGTTAGGCAGGTGCTCTGCCCCTGCACTACAATTCCAGTATTTGTTTATTTGTTTTTGTTTCTTGGGATGGGGGCTTGAACTCTGGACCTGGGTGCTGACCTTGAGCTCTTCTCAAAGCTGATGCTCTACCACTTTGAGACACGGTGCCACTTGTGGTTTACTGGTGGTTAATTGTCAATAAGAGTCTCATGTAATTTCCTGACCTGGCTTGCTTTGAACTGTGATCCTCATACCTCAGCATCCTGAGGATGACAGGCCTAATACATATGTCTAATTGGCTTCTATTTCAAGTTTGGCACTTCCTATATAACTGCACAAACCATTTTGTTTCTTTCATTTCTAGGATAAGAGTAAAATTCCTTGCTCTTGAGTATATGCTAAAATTTAAATAGTTTTTATTGTTCTGACAAAGTCTGGGGTTTAAATATAGATTATTATTTAAAGTCCCTGAGAATAGCTTTCTTTCTATCAGCTTAAATAGTGGAAAAAAATATTACGATATTTTCCTTTTAATTATTCAATAAAGTAATGATTACTAATACTAATGCATAATTAAATCATAAAACGAAACTGATTGAATAATGGCAGTTTGGATCAGTTTTACACAAATGATAAATACTTTGGGAAGTTGTTATTGTCTGAGAATTTATATGTGCAAAGGTGGAAATAGTTATCAAAATAAAAATGCATGAGTAATAAAAGTTTTCTCTTACCTGGATGTTCTGAATGAGTTTTTCATCTTCTGTTACATAGGGGTTAATTGCAATGACAATGCCTTCATATGCATTGGCAGGTAACTTTACCATTGAGCATTTTACCTCTAACAAGAGATGCAGAGCTAGGCATAGAATGCTCCTCAGACTGAACATCATTTCTGCCCAGGCTACAATTATATAGAAATGCAAGGAGGGTATTTATATATCTGCCTATTAGTTTAGGAATTTCAATCAAGACCAAATATTTGCATAAATTTGATATGGTAAAATACACTAAAATGTCTAGGTGAACTTCCTTATTCATTCTAAAGATGTAGTTATGAAGTAGCAGTAGGGATTATGCTAAACATCCTTAGCATACTCTGTGTAGATAGTCAAGCTCATAGTAGTGAGCGGTTATCCTTGTTACTATCAGATGTGACCTCAGGGTACTCTTCACAGAAAATCTCTTCAGGGAGAGGCAAGAAGTAGTAGTGAATTAAGGGCTTAATTTTATTTATTTTTAATATTATTTTATTGTAAAGTTGTTATATAGACAGGTTACAGCTGAGATTCAGTGGGAAAAGTTTTAGCTTCTGTGATTAGTACTTGTTTATTTCAGCTTTCCAATAACATTGAATGCTTAAGTTCTTTCATAACTTGGGAACTTAATATGCTTCAGGTAAGCTTTTTCATTCTTTTAATCTTTTTTGATTGAACACAAATTGTTCTTAGCTTGAACTTGTTGTACAATGGCATTGTGAGCTGGCTCTAAAGTTAGAAAAATACAAACCCTACTCTTTCTTGCTTTGGTCACTTAAAACTCATGGGATTTTTATTTTTGTAAGAATTATGCAGTTCATTTTTTAGGCTTTTTCTATTGTTGTGCTATTAGAATAATTTGTACTTAGAGAAGTTCTAAATCTATGGATCAGATCTACAAGGTTTTCATACAAGCTCTTAATATTATACATTAGTGGTTAGCATTATATGTATACAATCAATACAAGCTTATTATTCACTTTGATAATTAATATTTCTATTTTAATTCTTTTATTTTGTCATCATGTAAATACAAACTCCCAATGTTTTATGGCAAGTCCCTGTGTATGCCTAAGACTAGATGTAGAACTGTGTGGCACACTGAAACCATAGGCTTTTTGGAATGCTCTTTCATTTTTTTCTTGCTGTGCCCTTGCAGCTCCAGCCTAAGAGCAGCCTCATCTGTAAAAATGTACTAAGCCATCCACATGAAAAGCAATATATATTTCCTTTGAACTTGTTTGTGCCTAACCTCTGCATTGCTCTTGTAATTTACTATTTTATTATTAGTACTTGTGAGCCTTGTGCTGCTAGGTAAACTACTGCTTGAGTCATCCTCCCAGTCCTTTTTGCTTTAGCTGTCTTTCAAAGAGGGTCTTACAATTTCATTCCAGCCAGGCTTGGATGCAGTCCTTCTACATACAGCCCCCTGTGTGGCTATCATTATTGGTGTGAGTCCCCACATCCAGTCTTTCTTTTGTTATTATTCATATGCGTAGTAGCTTGTCTCCTTTCTTGGAGGGAGATTTTTTTTCTGTGCTTAATCTTTCTCAATCCTAGTTTCTTTAACTATAAAATTAGGAAATAATAACTAGAAGGACTGTTGGGCAGATTAAATACAAGAACATGCGGAAAATACTTGTAAATGCTGGTGCATATTAGACTCACAATGAATGCTTATTGAGGATGGAGAAAACTCAAACTGTGTAATTCCTTAGAAAGTCTAACTCACAGTTCAAGCAGGAAACCTGTATTTGAAAGGGGTAAGATGGGATCAATGGAAGGGTGGGTAGATGAATGAAGACAGGATGGGGGAGAATACAGTCACAAGTGTTAAAACAAATCCTCCAAACTTGTGCAAAGTGAGGGAAGGTGGCCTTTTGAGAGGGAAGGGTGAGAACATTGTAAAGAGGCTGACACTGATCAATATGCATTGTGTCCATAAACTGCTTTGCTGAATGGAAACTCCTTTGTACAATTATTTAAAGATGATAAAAATGCATATTAAAATAGATGTCCAGTGCTTTTCCTTGTTTCTTTTATATGAAAAAAATATGAATGCATTTAGGTGCCCCATCCAATGCTCTCCTCTTGAGCAAGTGCAGGATGAATAAATGTAACATTACTGATGAAGAAATTAAAATCACTTCTGTAGATTTGAATTGTTGAAAAAAAAAAAAGAAGAAAAACCCAACAACACAAGATAAGGCAAGAACAATTTGATAGGAAAATTATAATCTCATCACTAGAGAGCCAAAACTTAGGTAATAATTTATGGTGAAGGGATTCAAGAAGGCTTTGGGAGAAGGCCAGTCTATTGGAGATTGAGGAAAGGAGAATTTATACTTTTCAAAAAGGAAACGTTTGGTATTGAAACTCAGGACATTCTGATTGGGGTAAGGTGGAATCTCAGTGTTGTTTTGATGTGCAATTCTTTTATGGCTAGGGATGTTGCATATCTAATTTGTGGAAGGGAAAGGAAATCATAGAAACAGCAGAACAAAG